AAATTTCTATACTATGTACAATTACGTTACAAAAGATGCGCTTCCATACCATTCCGAGGCGATGTAAATTAAGCATAAGTGTTCACTTACGTTTCACGTAAATGTTCTTTATCGAATTTAAGACTTTTTGGAACAATACATTATTATTATTATATCTCACCACTGACTGACTAATTTTCGTCCCATATATTTTTGGCAAGTGATTTTCTGATGATTTGTCATCTCAAATTAATTTTTAAACAGGTCTTTAATAAATTGTAGAACTGAAGGATGGTCCTTTTATTTAAGATGGGTACTATGTTACTTAAAAGAAATCAATTATTATAGTAAATAAATAAATAACACACACACGCATTAGGGAAATCCTGTATCGCGGGTGACATGGACAAAGAAATAAATGTAGGCCATACAAATATTTTTCTCGTCATTGGAATCGAACCCGCTTGCTGCTGGTCTGCTACACAGACGTCCGTCTGTGTGGCAGACCAGCGTGAACCAGCGTTTTCACACCACCCTTTCGATCGGTATCATAAAAATACAATATAAAGTACGCTTTTTTGAGGGACTAATACGAGCCAATGTACTTTTACGCGAGGTGGTTAGCTACCCGAGCTTTAGCAAGAGTGTCTATTACTCCGAGGGTTTATATTGGCTTTTAGTTTTGAGGTGAAAACTTTAGTTTTCACTTTAATTGCAAGAAAAAAATAATTTATTTATTTTAATCGTTTACGGTCTTCAACTACAGACACAGATACAACAAACGCAAAGAAACACCACGATTAGCGTCTTTGGTAATCATGAGTGTTTTCGAACGATTTAAGTGCGACGTCACGTCACTAAAATGGTCCATACATAAACCCACTAAATACGGCAAGTGTGATGGGCACCTTTGCGCATTAGTCCGGGGTAAGGGCTTTTTGACGAGTGTGGTAGATAGCACTGAACCATGTTAGTGTAAGATAATAAAGCTTTAAATATTTTTTTGTTTTTTGATATTTTTAAGTGTTGTTTTAGTTGCAATTATATTGTTTCACTTTATGAACTTTTACCTTTTGGCACAAACTAGAGCAAGTGCTCACTGTTTGAGTTTGTTTAGGTCCCTCGAAGTAAATATAAAAACTCGGTACTTTTTACTCCATAGGGATTAATTAAATGAAGCACTTTACTCCCGCAACGTAAGGCTATATTGACGTAGTTTTAGAGCACGAGAAGTGAATTTTTTTTACATTTCGTCGATTCGAGTACTAGGTGAAGGAAGCACTTTTTTTAAGTCTTTGAATACAGTATTACTTACTTTTAAAAATAAAATAATACCTTCGGGAAGGAAAATATTAAAAAATAATATATAAAAGGAAAATAATAAATAATAATAAAAATCTATAATATTTTAAGTAGTTTACTTCCGTGTTGCGTAGCTGCGTAACACACACAACTGTAAATTATGTAGTGTTTGTTGTATTGGGTCACTTACTGCCTATTCAGTTACCTACTTACCTATGAGGAATTTTTATAGATACAAATAGAGGTAGAAAAAGTCGTCAAAAACTTATCTAGGCATTTTAATTTTCCAAATTGAAGGGATAGGATCAAAATAGTTTTATTACAGTGACTATTTATATTTACCATATTAACCTAATATAAAATTAATTAAAATATAAATATTTATAATACTTTATACAAATTACACATAGACTTACTTACACTTTAAGACTTTTTACGTACGCAATTATTGTTTTCTCTGTACCTACTCGTTAAGCTAGTTTGATATGTCCCATAGTCATTTAAAAATAAGGTAGTTTTAGTATTTTCGTAACTGTAGTCCATAATAGAGTTGTTTGCATTAATATTAGACATAACTGGTTGATGACTTTATTATCTTAGCAGTGACCATGGGACCTATAAAGAGGTTTGTTGAGGAAAAAACTTATACATATGAGTGATGCTAATGCAATCCGGAAAAAATATTAAAGCAATCGCGAAAACGTGAGAACTCTATAATTGTTGTTCTTGTCTATTTTTTCTATGAATAAATTTCATTCCTGGAATAAATTTTAAGCAAACTTTCATATTCTTCAGAGAGTGTAATCTCAGTGATCGTCTCGTTGCTCAAGATAATAATTATTATATAAATAAGGGATAAGTTTTTTTAATGTAAAACAGACGAACGCTTGGCCACAGTCATAAATGATCAAAGAGCGATTCCACACGGGCGCTGCCGGTGCGTTGTGTCGTCGCAGCGCTATGATTTCAATCACGGAAGAAAATTCAATGCACTGAGTGCCATGCGGTGTCGCAAGGTAACGCCGCTTACTTACGCACCGCAGCACCCTTCCCCGCTTCGTTTCTGACCTTTTGTCCGATACGCATGCGTTCAACGCACCATGTGACACGTATTTGTAATTTATATGTAACCGCACAGGCGTCGCAACGCCAACGCAACGCATTGTGTGACATCGCTCGTAAGCGCCGATGTGACCGACAACACACGCAAATGGTACACGTGTATTATATTCTATAATTACAAGAACAACAGACAGGTAGATGAGTTTTGATTTTCTCGGAGCCACCTTTTCCATCCGATACTAGCACCTCCCAAGTGTTGTATTTCTGCTTGCAAAATGTTTCAATGCCTATGTCCGGGAACTCTTTGAAGCATTTTGTATTTCTGCTCCTGAAAATAAGGAAAAATGCGTTTTATTAAATGAAAATCAGGCGTAACCGTCAAAGAAGACAAGACAGTATATTTTCCAATGATAAAGGTAGATTCCAGACCGACTTTCCGAGATGTATTCGTGCCGGTAAGTGACCGCCTTGAGCTACTTGCTCTAGACTTATCATGCAACTTCAACTTTGGGCGATACATTGAGTGCTTGGCAAAAACTGCTGCCAAAAAACTAGGCATACTTTTCAAAGTTAGGCGGTACTTCACACCTGAACAGCTTTTAAATCTGTATAAAGTACCAGCTCGATCGTGTACGGAGTACTGCTGCCATCTTTGGGACGGCTCTGCCCATTACCGGTTAGCTGCCTTGGACTCGGTGGAGCGAAAAGCAAAGAGACTTATTAACAACAATTCTCTTGTGGAGTCGAAGCTACAAAATCTCGACAATCGCAGAAAAGTAGTTTGCTTGTCGGTTTTCTATCGAATACATTTCGCGGAGTGTGCGCAGGAAATTTTCAATTTAGTTCCACCCTCACCATTCTTCCTTCGGTTGACTAGGAGGTCCGGAACACTCCATCCTTATATCGTTTATGTACCATCAATTCGCACTAAGCGCTTTGCTTTCTCCTTTCTGATGCGTGGGGCAAAGGAATGGAATACTCTACCGGCATCTGTGTTTCTCGAAACGTACAATTTGGGGCTATTCAAAGCTACAGTGAATAGGCATTTTTTAAGCAAACGCGTTCCATCGTCGGTCACATCGTCGCTTAACATCAGGTGAGATTGTGGCCAAGCGTGTGTCTATTATATATTACAAAAAAAAACCGACACGGTCAATTTAATATAAAAAGTCGACTCTCAGCTGCCGCCCCAAATGTAATGACTATTTTTACGAATTGAGTAGCAGTAGAGCTATGAAGCTCTATTGCTACTCAATTCGTGAAAGAGTTCGTCCAGGGAAGTAATGCTACCTTGCCTATTTCTACCGACAAGTAGTAATGTGACCGTTACAGCGTTCCATTATTGAAGGGGTAAGGGTGCTGGTGAAATTACAGGCACATGAGACTTGTCAACTTATACCTTAGCAGTGCCCCTTAGACCTTTGACATTTAAAACTCTGAGTGGCACTGCAACTGTCACAAATATGCGTGTCGCTTAACACCAGGCACTCAAATTGTTAGCCCCGTCGCTTGATATTTCAAGAAAAACGACATACTCACTTGCATTCTTCAAGGCGCACTCTTTGCACGAAGTCATGTTTTGGTGCTTGTATGACAGTTCTAATGTCTCCACGAACGCTGCGAACCTTATACAAGGGTTCGTACTGAAACGATTTTGTTAAAAGGTTTTAAGTAATACGTTTTAAAATGGAAGTAAATTACTCAGTTGTGCCACGATTCAAGTGAAGGTTAAATCGTGCAAAATAACAGTGCTTGTGTTGAATATTTTTTTCAGGTAGTTATTTTTACCGCACCCCCTCCACACAAAATTAATACAATACACAAGACAAACGCAACTACAATCACGAACACCACTACCATCTACCAATAATTTACTCGACATGTGTTTCGCCTCTCTATGCAGTATCCTTAGGAGTTGTTCATTGTTCGACACACGGCTGAAGAAGCAAGTAATTAAACTTTAAGTTTTATAAACATTTCCGCAAAGTAACGTCTGAATCTATAAATTAATAAAAATCCGTTATGTTAGTGTCGGCTGCAGCATTTCAAGGCAGATGGGTCAAGAATACTACTTCATTTAAGACTAGTAATGCAACAGACCTCTGCTTTTGCTTCCGCGAAAGTTCCGCACGCTTTTTCACATCTGTTTCCGTTTCTGCTTCCGCAACATTTATAACGGAATTTTAATCGGAACTTTACAACGTTCGCGACCGTTGTGTCCTTATGAAATCAAAAACAAGGCCTGTTTGAAATTATTTTGTTGAGAACTATAGTATTTGCACTTCCTCTTCTGCATCCGCTTCCGTTTCCGTTTCCGTTTTCCGTTATGACACTTCTGTTGTATCTCTAACCTTGACCTTGTGTGAATGGGATTGGAAATGAAAAGTATTAGAGCGCCTTCAAATTGAACGTTTATGGAAGTGCTGCAGCAGCGCAGCAACTAATTTTCATACAATATTTAGAAGCGCAATTGCAACACCACTGCGTCGTGCGTGTGTGACATGCGCGCGCCACTTTAGCAGTCACAATTATTGAATTAAAACTACTGAAGCGCTACAGCGCTACCGTGCCAGAGTCGTGCTACTGCAGCGCTCTCCTAAAAGCGGGTAATTAGAAGGCGTCCTTAGACAGCAACGAAAGGATTGCATTGTAGTAGATACATTTTAGATACCTACTAATGTTTATCTAACTATTTGGCGTCTAAGTTGTTAATTATACATGTTTACATATGTAGGTGCTACATGTGATGTATTTATGATGTTACTTTAGCCATCACGTAAAATTGTAAACTTCTCCAGTAAAGAATAATTTCGTACCTAAATTATTGCCCACAAGTTCCTTTTTAAATACTCCACGGGACATATCCAACTCGCTGGGCGTATAACTTCAATATATTTTACAAAAATATAATGCAAATAGCTAGTAAACCAGTTTTAGACCTTGAATTCTTGTACTCTTTCCGCACAGTTTTATTATTATTATTATTAGTATTAACTGTGGATAGTAAGCACTTGCCAAACTGTTATGTTTGCTTTAAACGTTCGATGCATCGTTAAAGTTTTTATTGGACATGTCCACTTAAATGAGTTTCCACATCATGTCTGATGCGGTTAATCCACCATATGCTTGATTTAGTCACTCTTTTTGCAAATGATGACTTTCTTGATTATTTAACAACAATTACATATTGATTGTAATGAATGTTATAATGTTTTACTAGCATAATTATTTTTGTGAAATTACTCCACTGTTTTGTTAAAATTATTAATACAAAGATGGAACATAAAGAAAAATTCCTTCGATCTGACGGAGCCCAATTCTGCTAATTTTAAATCATCTCAGTTGTGCGTTTGGTATTCTGCTAAAGTTATGAGTAGTGGCTTCTCAGTGGCTAGCCATCGAGCTACCATCCAACTGCCATTGCAATTGGATTGTATACTCTTTAACGGCGAGTCGATGATGTAGTCTACTAATATTATATATTCGCCATCCCCGGCGAACAAAATGATAATCGCAACAAAGTAATATTTTAGGAAAAATAAAAAACATGTTTTCATTGATAAGTTCTTAAATGAACTTAGGTAAATTAATAGTTAGCTTTAAGGAAAGTTTTTTGTGCATTCTATATTATAAATGAAACCGCCGGAAGTTAAGCCAAAATGGAGATATTTCAATAATAAATAATTAGTCAAAATCAATCATCATGTTGAATTTATATTGTGGATTATCATTTTATTCCCGTTGTGTCTGAGTCGAAAACAAGTATTGCAACGTTGACTCATCGTTTTATTCTACGGGTTGCAATAGAACAAGTGGCGAAGATAATAATTACATATCATCTTATTCTCGTAAGCATCGTAAAATATTTTTTGGAAATGTCTTATTCTGATGTTACAATGAAACCTTGATATTATAATCAACTTCTGTTTTATTTTGATTTATTATACGAACAGCCTGAATAGTTTGAAACGGGAGTAAAATATTATAACTGCGTGAAAGTGCACAGGAATAAGGTGTGCATGGGTAGAAAATTTAAATAATATTGTAATATTTTGTTATTCCGTAAGTAACTGCTTAAAAATCACGAAAAAAATTGAAAAGATTTATTGGTACCCAAAGATCTTAAATATAAATAAATATATAACACTTAGGGTCGTATTCCAGAACTCTACTCAGTGCTCAACTCAATATGATTTCAAGCACTGGAAACACGACCCTAATGGCAGGGACTTGAGTATGATTTCGAGTGCTTTAAACCATACTCAAATCCTGACTTGAGCATTGAGTAGAGTTCTAGAATACGACCCTAAAACTGTGATAATGGCAGTTATCTTTTTGTTCTCCGGGGATGGCGATATATTTAATTTGAAGATTAAGTTTCTCTTTAAGCGAGATAAAAATGAAGCATTGGAATTTCCGTGATAGTTTTAGGAATTTCATCGATCTTTAGTTATAGAATGAATGAACGCCATCAGTGCCATTCCACTGATTCTCAACTGCCATTGCAAATGCATTATAGCAGAATAGCAAATATTATCATAATGGCAACATAATCTCAATGGAGTCTCAATGGAATTACAATGTGGCCACCAATTTTTCGAAATATTTAGGAAAATTCCGACAAATAAGTCTTACTTAATACATGTAGTTAGATTTATTTAGATTTGTATTTCAAACGTACTGTTTATTTATAGACATTCCTCCGGGATCCTAAAACTATCGCATCGACTCTTCGTGTAGTTCTTAGTGTAAGTTTTAACTTTCTGACTCGACTTTCATGTCATAATTGGAAAGAAAAATGTTATCTTAAGGTAGTCTCCACTTTCTGTCTCTGTTCCTCGAAGTTTAGGTAAAAAATTCTACCTTTTACGATCACTGGTAATAACGGAGCTACGGAACGAGTCAGTATTAATTTCTCTGCGCGTTTGTTACAGATCTTTGTTTTTGGTTTTAAAGGCTTTTTTTAACCGTAGCGCCAGTTGTTAGAAATAAATGAAAGATTTTCTTCGCTCAATCAGATGGTTAGTTACTTCGTTTGCTAAAGTATGGAATAATTTTATTTACCGTGACAGTGGTGTCGCAGTCATCTACTTCGCTGGGATCGCCTTGCCGATCCGGTGTGTCATCTGCTAATAAAGTCGGTTGAGGTATTGGTTTCTGGAAATATAATGATAATGACTTTGATAGTCATTGATAGTAGCAGTAACAGTACAGCCACAGAACAAAAAGTAACGAGAATAGACACTCTCCACCCCTCCCTAGCTTTAGATACAGCACCACACCCCGCACATTGACTGAACGACAACAAGGCTGTCGGCGAGCCGTTTTCGCGCTAGAGTGGCTGTTATATTTGAATATAGTTTTCATTTATTCATTACGAAACTTGTACGTTAGTATATAACATGAGTTATGAAATATGTATACGGCTGTTTATCGTCATCTAATGTTAAACGGGATAAAGAAAGGAGCGGCTTTCGTTTTCCGAAGGATGAAACGAGATAAGTAAAAAAAAACTTATGTCTGAGACTCATTCAGTTATTGTTTCCTTCATTTATTTAATGCAAAGTAATATATAATACAAATTTATTATATCAATTTATTGAGATGTAATACAGTAGACAAGGGTTCTCGATTTGTATTGATTTTCAATTTGTATTGCCGATAAATATGTATGTGTGAATATAATTAATAACTAAGTTATGATAAAGTTCGACACGCAATTTCAAATACCTTGACTACCTTATTTAAAAGTACCTGTCCAAAATATAGCATTTTAGGAGCTTTTAACTTTTTTTTAAAATAAACTTTCAGGATTATTCTAGTTAGTAAATTAATGAAAAATATAATATTATATTGATACAAATTCTTAATGAACATGTGTAATTATTAGGATTCTATTAATAGAATTATAGATAACAGATTCGCGTTAGAATTTTCTATCTTACCGCTCTGACCACACACGATAAAGTGATTGGTAACCCTACCACTTCACGCACACATTTGCGCGTGTGCAGATAGAGCCTTGCTGTACGTAATAGTAGTAGGTAAATAACTTTCGATTGTTATATGGAGTGTCCGGGTTGTGGTAGAGCTTCTAGTAACAGTAGCTCCTTGTGAAAAAGGTCGTCCAGGGAAGTACTCGCCAAGCAGAAATAGGTAAATGTAAACTTACAGGCACATTGGACTTAAAAAGGAAATAATTGATTCTATTCTATTTTATTCTTATTAAATAAATAAGCATCTCTGTACTTTACCTTTGTTAAATTATAATACTTATAGAAATTTAAGAAAATATCATGAGTTAAAAAATATCGTCAGATACTTCGTATGACGATGATGGAAAAGGTTGACACAATGTTTATAGTGCCTAATTTATATAGTCCCAAATTCGGAAGCACCTGTGGTACGCACGGACGAACGGAAATATAAGGTCAAGATCACTTCAAGATCGCTTACTGTCTATGCACTTGAATTCATAAATGTTCATAAATGTGGTCGACCGATTAAAATAATTGCTACTGGGCTACACTTATTCTAGCCGTCTAGTGGATTCAACTGGGGGTTTCTACCTTTTTTAACCAATTAAAAAAAGGAACTGTATGTTTTAACCGACTTCAAAAAAAGGACGATCTCAATTCGACTGTATGTTTGTTTTACGTGTGTTATGCGTTTGTGAACCGATTTTGAAGATTCTTTTTTTGTTGGAAAGAGGGTACCTCAGAAGGGGTCCCATTTAAATTTGAAGAAAATCTTCCACCTCTAAGGGTGGCAAACTAGGGAATGATTTACTTTTGAGATCGGTTTTTTAGTACTCTGTACTGAGATTATTTGTTGTTGTTAACATAACATGTTACTCCGACATTTGTGGACCGATTTCAATTATTCCTTTTTTGTTGGAACGAGGACACCTTAGTTGTGGTTCCATTCAAATTTGGAGAAAATATTTCACCTCCAAGGGAAGCAAATGGGGGGGAAAAAAAGGGGATGATTCCGGTGTATTGGATTTCACCCACTCTCCGCTGACTAATTTTATTAAAATTTGGCGAATAGAAAATAATAATAATAACGCACACACTCAACATAGCCCCGCACTAGGGTAATCCTGGGTCGCGGGTGCTATGAACACACACATAGACAATCACAAATTACACCCAAACTCACGAGAGAAATAAATGTAGGCCATACAAATATTTATCCTGGCCCGGGAATTGAACCTGGGACCTCTGCGTGGCAGTCCGGTATGGCCTCTGTGGCCGAACGGTTGTTCGGCCACGGGGCGGCAGTCAGATATTACGAACACAGCGAAAGCGAACAAGCAAACTTTTGAGATCGGTTTTAAACTTATAATTATTCCGTTCAATGATTAGCTGTATTGGTTGATATAGATATACTTACGTATCCTTTGAACATTTCATTGAACTGTTGTTCTGGGTAGTCCGGGGGTTTAATAGTGCAGTAATTCTTGCCCTTGCACTCTTCAGGCTCGCTGTCACTTTTCGTATTTACATCGTCACTATATCGATTGGTTGGTATTTGTACGGGGCCAGGGTATATGATAGGCGTAGGGTCTTCGTAGCCTGAAACGTGGGGAGTTGTGCCATTTAAGTTATTATTGCTGAAGTAACAATAAAATAGATTAAATTTTTATTGAAAGTCAGAATGTTTCACCACCATGATATTCAATTATTTTTTGTGAAATTCTCCACTAGTTTGTTATAATTATTAATACAAAGATCAGTTAAAACGGGCTAAAAAGTCGTTCAAAACCAAATACAAAAATTCAACAACAAGCACATAGAATAATTTGTGAAGTCCGCTGGTTCGTTCCGTGGCTTAGTTGGCATAGAGTCTGGCACAATTTGCTAGGAGACGTCAGTTTGAATCCGGCCGGATCGAAGGAATTTTTGCTAAGTGTTAGATCTTTGTATTAATACTTATAATACAATAGATATCAACAGTTACTTTCATTGAAATTAGGAAATTCACGACTTTCACTATTGCTGCACATTGAACATGAAACTATTTTTAACCGACTTCAAAAAAGGAGGAGGTTCTCAATTTGACTGTATGTTTTTTTTTTTTGTATGTATGTTATGCGATAACTCCGCCATTTGTGAACCGATTTTGATGATTCTTTTTTTTGGAAAGAGGGTGCCTCAGAAGTGGTCCCATTTAAATTTGAAAAAAATATTCGACCTCTAAGGGTGGTAAACTAAGGGATAAATGACTTGTCGGTTTTTTTTAGTACTCTGCACTGAGGTTAAGTTATTTCGGATATGAATAGCGTATCTTTTTTTTCGAACAAACCAACGTTTCGGACTCTTCATATAGGTCAGTCAGCCGTGACTATAGGACCTGTAAACTAAAAAAACTGAAATCCTCAGTACGCTCTGTCTTGATAATCAAGGATTATTCTTTTTTAAGATTTAACCTCTTCAAGAGCATCGTGAGAAGCGTGATCGTATATTTCTTTACAATATCTTAAATAATAAGAATTGCTATGAATCTATTGTGGTACTAATATCCGATGTCACTCGCTTGTTATAAGTACGTGTGAAACTTACAACGAAAGAAATGTTCGCAGTCGTCATTTAGATATACTTAGTGATAATATCGACTCCTTCAACAGTAAATTAATTAACTGAAATAAATATAATTAACTAAGTTCCTATACTTAGTAGTTCTCAGTGTATTCTATTGCTATTTAATTTAAATTACCTATGTATGTTAAATTATTGAAAATTTTAATTTAGTTTCTTTGTTTTTTTGAGATTGCCGTCAACACTTAAAATTGTTGCCTTTGTAGGACACCCAATCAAATAACAAATAAATATACTGTGAACATAATGTTAAGTGTTGCTAATAAATAAATAAACAGCTCGAAACGTTGGTTGTTCTGAAAAAACAAATATATAGGATTTAGATTAGATAACATCAAGAAATGAATTTTCATAATGCAGAAACCGTACATTGGTCTCTATATAATATATCTCTTGCGTTTATGGCAACTATATATTCAAGTCTATTCTACATATTTAAATGAGATTAACGTTTTACCTTACCTAAATTTTTTTACTCATGTGCAGAACATTACATCCGTGTGACCCGTTGGTCAGAGCTATGTCGGAACCCGTAATAACTAATTATTGTATATGATTTAAATGCGATACAATAGGTTTTTTTATGATATCAAGTGATGGGACAAACAAGTCGTGCGCCTGGTGGTATGCGACACCAATAACAGTAAAGTTGCAGTGCGAATCAAAGCTTTAAGGCGTGAAACACACTGGAAGTGGGTGTGGGTCGGGCGCGTGTCGTCGCGAGCGCGGCCGCCCCGGCCGGTATAATTCCACGTATTCAATGGACACAACACACCACGCGCGGGCGCGAAACGGGCACAGGTCGAGTCAATATGTTTCATGCTTTAATTGCAAAGATCTGAGGTACACTACCACTGCACTCGTCACCCTGAGACATATGGTCTCGTGTGCCGGTGTTTTCATCAGTATCTTAACCCTTTAAAACCGGAAGGCACTAATACTTATATTAGTACTTGGCGAATGTAGTAGACACTAAGGTGACAGTACTATACTGGACAAACATTTTTTCAAGGAGTTTTACTACTTGTAAAGGTAATATGTAGTATAGTCTGTTTTTCTTAAAGTAATAATGTGCTGTGGTAGAGTTTAGGAGATATCTTTGAAGATACTGCTCAGAACATCGTTCTTTACTTTCATGGTTTCATGGTATTGGAATGGAGAGTTAATAGCGTTCATGTTACAAATAATTTCTGGAAATACGTGCTATAGGTATTTTTGCAACTAAAAGCTGAGAGAATAACTGATTAACATTTAAACGAGAAACAAAAATCCATTAGCAGCAAGTATGACTAATCTAAACTTGTTTATATTTATGACAAAATTGAGTTTTGATCCGCCAACACACAGTAGTTGGAGGAGCAATTGGACTAAGCTCCTCCGAAGACAGCTATATTCAATTTTTTTCTTTCAGGTCAGCCTCATGTGTAATACCAAATGGGTCGCAAACTTTTTTTTAGGTCATCATTTAAAATTAGATAGTGTGTACCTGGTTTTACCTTTAGTAGCAGTAGAGCTCCTTGTGAAAGAGTTCGTCCAGGAAAGTACTGCCACCTTACCTATTTCTGCCGCCAAACAGTAATGTCAGCATTACTGTGAAAATACAGGCACATGGGACTTGTCAAATTATGTCTCATGGTGACGGGCGCAGTGGCAGTGCCCCTCAGATCTTTGCGACTTATAGCTCTGAGTGGCACTGCAACTGTTATGGATAGGCGTGTAACTCACCATCAGGCGCACGACTTGTTCATCCCGTCACTTGATATCATAAAAAAATGCAGGCAGGGAACTTCGTAGCCGCTTCGTCATATTTAATTAGTTCAATTACTAATCTTTTATGATGAAACTTCACGTTTTAGAATCAGGATAGAATGTTATTTCATGAAAGAATGTGGATATGGTTGTTGATTTTTGCTCTTAATATCAGCAGGCGCTGATGTGGATGCTGATTTTATCTAATTAAACAAAATCGTGAAAAAGGTACATGAGCCTTATTGAACCTAAATGAAAAAGCGTTTTTAATGACATTGTGACATTTATTAACAAAAACATCAATCTGCATAAAATTGATCAGTTTGCCTAGCTTAATCATGTACTGGAATTTTCTTAAAGATAAGAACGACAGCTGAGCTGCTTTTTGGCTTGCAACCTGTTTCTGGATGGTTTGTAAATTAATGTCAAGACGGGAATATCCGCAAGTAGCATCGATGAATGCGCAGGCTGATGCCGATGCGAATATAACCCTGTTCAGTACATATTATTGAGTTGATAACAAAATATTGCGGCCTTACTTCAGGTGATAATACTTAGTTAGAAAACACAGCACAAAAAAATTGGTAAGTGAAATGTTGATTCCCCTTACAAATATTTAAAAACCAAACAAACCGCAACCAGAATTCCTTTTATATAAAAATTGTTTGTTATTGCACAGTATGGTTTTGTTGCTATATGTACCAGTGGCGACGCGTCCATATAACTCGATTTTCACTGGCTTAATATTTTCCACGTACATCAAATACTACATTTTGTGCTAAGTTTTAAGTGTAGAATAAGTTAACCAGTGAAATGAAGTGTACCCTTGTGTGCTAGTAAGTTGGGTTGAAATGTCGCTAAGGCGCCACTTTTTGTATAGGTAGGTGTTTTTTGCTTAGTTCCGGCTTTACTAACGACAATTTTCACGCCTCGCCACTGGTATGTGCATAAGTATACTCACTTCTCTTAGTATGGGAAGCTGTCTGTGCCAAGTGCATACACTGGACCGTGACCTGTAACCCGATGACATTCACAACTTAGATAAACTTGATATATGGAACATGCTATAGTCATACTCACTCTACTGTACGTCAACATACGATAGTCTCACAAGACGTACGATATGTGCGTGGGCAGAAATATTTTATTATTCATGACAGTGTGTCTCCACCAACAAACTGCCCCGCAATTTCATAAAACAAGTGCCTTTGAGGGTAGCAGAACAGTCTGCCTCGTCCACTTAACAGTAAATCTCAATATCTGAGACGTGAAAAATCTGTTGATGGAACACCAGCGTCTGCTCTAATGCCGGAAGTCCGTAACTCTTGTCTTCTCACTTATTTACACATACATTACGTAACATTTTTGCATTTGAATAAAATACAGACTAATTGCGATATTGAGCAGAAATTGATTGCAGGTGCAGTACACATGTTACATTTAAGAATGGAATCGATCTCGATCATATGACGGCTGAAAGCACGTACTCGTACGCACAGCTGTGTGGACACCTCGCCTCCAAAAATCTAGGCTCGCTTTGAAATAACTCGCCTTAACTAATGTCAAGTAACCTATTTTAATTTATTATTAGGGCGCGTTCAAATTAGCCGCTGTTAGCCGCGCTGCAGCTGCGCGGCGGCCGCGCGACAGTCGCGTTGCAGCCACGCTCGGTTGCATCACGGTTAGTGAGGTGTACATGTTAATATCTAATAACTGATAACTGCCTCCGTGGCCGAACGGTTACCATACCGGACTGCCACGCAGAGGTCCCCGGGTTCGATTCCCGGGCCGGGAGAAATATTTGTATGGCCTACATTTATTTCTCTCGTGAGTTTGGGTGTAATTTGTGGTTGTCTATGTGTGTGTCCATGGCACCCGCGACACAGGGTTTCCCTAGTGCGGGGCTATGTTGAGTGTGTGCGTTATTTATATTTATATTTATTTAATTTTTCAAATTCACCACGATGGCCGAAAATCGAGTTGAAGAATTTATAGAGAATGCAGAACAACACCTCGCAATATGGGATATCAGTTCCGCCAGTTAGTTTTAATCGACTGGAAAAAAGGCATGGGAAAATTTATATTATAAAATAAATGCTTAATTAATATAAATACAGGTCAAATCATTGTTTGTCTCTTAAATTTTATTTTGTTTAAGTAGGAACTGTTACACAGTCCATTACACATTTTTTGTACACATTATGCGTCGAGTAACTCTAACCCCTGAGACACAGGTTACCGCCTAGTTCAGGGGTGGAATGTATCGCCATCTATTTTAGACACAGTTGCACAAAACCTGTTTAATTTTAATGTATGCCATATAACATGTTCTATTTTTATGTACAATAAATTATTATTATTATTGCTATTATTATTAATGTGGCATTAATTTCTAAACCCAAGATGGTTGCCAAGAATTTTCAAAAATTTATTTTTGGTAATCCTTATGGAAATGGCATTTATATCAGAATACATGATGGCTGACACCACTTTTCGCATTTCTAAATGCAAGATGGCGGGCACGATTTCTCAAATAATGGCAAGCTGGGTATCGTTTTCGAGATATATGGTTTTTCGATGTTGGATGTCCATATTGCGTTTTTTTGAAAAATCGTGTCCGCCACCTTGGATTTACAAATAAGTGCTATTATTCCTAACGAGCACCCCGAATATGGCACTCACTTCTAAAGCCAAGATGGCGGGCACGATTTTTCGAATAATGGCAAGTTGGGTATCTTTTTCGTGGTATGGAGGGGCGCTCATGACGAATAATAGCACCATTATTCGAAAAATCGTAAACGCTATCTTGGAATTACAAATAAGTGCTGTATTCGTAATGAGCACCCCCAAATACTTCGAAAACGATGCCTAACTTGCCATTATGCGTAAAATCGTGCCCACCTCCCGCCCTCTTGAATTTAGAAATGAGTGCCATATTCGTATTGATCATCCCCAAATACCGCGACAAAGATACCCATATTACATTTTTTGAAAAATTGTGTCCGCCACCTTGGATTTTGAAGTGCTATATTCGGAACGAGCCTCCCCATATATCTCGAAAACGATATCCAACTTGCCATTATTCGAAAAATCATGTCCGCCGTCTTGGATTTAGAAATGAGTGCCATATTTGTAATGAGCATCCTCAAATACCTTGAAAAGGATACCCATATTGCATTTTTTTGATAAATCTAGTCAGCCATCTTGGATTTACAAATAAGTGCTATATTCGTAATTAGCACCCTTAGATATGTCGAAAACGATACCCGCTTGCCATTATTTGAGAAATCGTGTCCGCCATCTTGCATTTAGAAATACGAATAGTCGTGTCAGCCATCATGTATTCAGATTTTAAATGCCATTTCCTTAAGGATTACCAAAAATAAATTTTTGAAAATTCTTTGCAACCATCTTGGATATAGAAATTAATGCCACATTCTCAATGAGCACTCCCAAACAACTCGAAACGTCTATAATTCTCGTTGTTCATCGACAATGTCGTAGGCACCTTTAGAATCCGTTCGTTGCCTTCATTTTGTTAAAATAATCAAAATGAATACTACCATTAAACAGTTACAAAACTCGATTTACGAAAAATATTTGTAAACAGTTTTCGCCTTGTTTAAGGGTTTTTTTGGGATTTTTACGTTTGTTTAACACTATTCTTCACACTTGTATTCAGAACCAAAAGGTATATAGTTAGGGGGGTCAGAGTTCTTGGGGCACACACTTCACGTATAGAAATTAAAAATTACTCACAACCTGCTATGTTTTTTTCATTTGTAGTTTTACTTTCAAAATTGTCAATAAATTTTAGACATAAATTTTCCCATGCCTTTATTTTCAGTCGATTAGAATAACTGGCGGAACTGATACCTCATATTGCAAGGTGTTGTTCTGCATTTTTTGTATTTATAAATTCTTCAACTCGATTTTCGTCCATCGTAGTTAATTTGAAAAATTAACATGTACACCTCACTAACCGCGATGCAACCGGGCGTGGCTGCAGCGCGACTGTCGCGCGGCCGCCGCGCGAATGCAGCGCTTCCAGAAATTGTATGAAAGGTGACAATCGCGCGATCGTCGCGCGGCCGTCGCGTGACTGCAGCGCTGCTGCAGCGCGGCTAACAGCGGCTAATTTGAACGCGCCCTAAGGACCACGAATTGGTTCGAAACATATCGAGCAAAAATTCGACTTAAATACGTGAGTTATCCGTTATTTTAGTTAACACGATTACAATTTTTAAATTTTCAATTTTTTCTTATTCACATAATAAAGAAAGCAGCAATCAATTTGTTTTTCGAAAACCGCTACATTTGGCGCGATTTTATAATGTCTGAACCTGTTAAGTTATTTTGTTTAATTTAGATTTTTTGTACAAAGAGTGAGTAAGAATTATATTAAGTCGATGTTAAAAGAATTTAATGTAATTGCTACTTTATGTCTGATTCTGATTTATTAAAACATAAACGTTACTAATTAAATTTTTATTCAATTGATATTCAATTATTTTATTGTGAAGTTACTCTACTAGTTTGTTATAATTATTAATACAAAGTGTTCGAAGTGTTCGATCTTTGTATTAATAATTATAAATGTTACTATTTTATATTGTCACTTTTCTAAGTTCCAGTAAAAGTGGCGATGTGTGTAAATACACATAGCATAGTATATATGTAAATACATAGATAGTATGCTACCTGGCACGATTATATTGAGATAATTGCGACATTTTTATTAAAAAAACCAACCTCAGAAGTTTGCGGAATCTATTTACCAAGTTTTATTGATATCGGTTAACGGAAAGTGGGTGAAAACGAATAAACCGGATTTATCCCCTAATGTACCCTTAGATGTGAAATATTTCCTTCAAATAAGAATGGGACGACTACTGAGGTACTACCTTTCCAACAAAAAAGAATCATCGATATTGGTTCACAAATATGTCGAAGTAAACACGTAACATATCCAAAAAAAAAATCGAATTGAGAGATCTTTCTCCTATTTTGAAGTCGGTTAAAAACAATGTGATTCGCATGAACAAGATGTAGTTTAAAGTGATCACATTGCTTGTTTCTTTGTTACATGTTAGATACAATCAGACGTAATGATTGCGGTAACAATTTTAGTAATTGTAGCTGCCATTTTATTTATTGGATCATGTGATTGGTTTAATTGAATATTTTGATAGGTGAATGTGATTAAAGTCAATGTTTTTCAGTATACTAGCTATAAATATCTTCAATGTTAATAGCCGATGATGGAAATGGTCCCCTCTTTGTAACCTCCTAAGGCTCCTTGTAGTACATGAAAATGTGGAGTGATTCATACCCAAGTGTACATTATAAGGAAAACATCGCATTGAAATTTATATGATTGATTGAATATATGACCATATAGTACTTAGAAAAATACAGATTTCGTACAAAACTGAGGCTGTTTACTTGCTTGCGCCTGAAGCACGTTTTTTTTTATAATATCATACAGCCTGTCCATAACAGTCACATTGCCACTCAGAGCCTTCAATCGCAAAGGTCTAAAGGGCACTATCACTCCGCCCATCATCCTGAGACATAAGTTGGCAAGTCCCATGTGCCTGTAATTTCACCAGCACCCTTACCCTTCAAAACCGGACCACAGTAATGCTGACATACTGCTTGGCGGCAGAAATAGGTAAGGTGACAGTACTGCCCTGGATGAACTCTTTCACAAAGGAGCTCTACTGCTACTAAATATACTAAATATGAGTACGTTTAGTACATTTTATTGTATATTGGGCGTTTAATACTTTTCCATCACGGTCTTAATAAGTTGTTGCAAAATACCTACTATTGTATACTGGTACTTTTATTAAGACAAATTAAACCACAGCTATAGCTTAACCATAAGTAAATATAAGACGTGGTAGCCTAATGGTTTGACCAACCGCCTTTCAAGCAGAGAATGTGGATTCGAGTCCAGGGTCACACTTCGTTGCACCTAGTTTCTCGAAATCTATGTGCGAAATATACATATATTTAATATCAAATTTACCATAGCTTTCCGATGAAGAAAAACTTCGTGATGAAACCTGCAGAATGTTCAAAACTCTCGGAAAACTTGTAAAGTCCCCAATCCGCATTCGCTCACCGGCCTAAACCCTCCACTGAGAAGGGACCCGTCCCCAGCAGTGAATGAATGGTATAGTTTAATGTTTAATATTGCGGCGAAACGGCATGGGAGCGAATTTTTGCAAGGATATTGTACATAGCATAATGAACTTAATGGTCAATTGTGTATAAAATCTTCCGCGGAATGCCCGAGCATTCTCGAGCATGCGCAAGAATGGACCATAAAGTGCACTGTGACGATACCGTTACAAAAATTCGCTTCCATTCCGTCCCGCCGCTATACAAATCGAGCCTAACCATAGATTTATTTCAAAATAACATAACGGGATCACGCATTATAAAATCGTCGCCATTTATTATGTATTGTAGTCAAATTTGAAATCCTTGTCCATCATAAGCACCTTGCGATTATCGAAAAACAAGTATATTGCTGGTTTTTAAAATCTGTTATTTATATTACGAAATTAATAAAAAATAAAACGACAATGTGTTTTAATCGTACGCATAGAAAGCAACGGTGTAGCACAAAGCTGAAAAATAAACTTAATTATTAAGAACTTATACATTAATTTACAGTGTCATGGTAAATTGGGGCACAGCTGGGTGAAAATTCATTTAATATAATATCAGTACCGAGTACTAAATAACCGACATCAAAAGTTCGTGGAATTACATCTGTTATCGCGTAACACACGTAAAAAAACATACCGTCGAATTGAGAACTCCTCCTATTTGAACTCTGTAAATAATCGTATTTAATCAAGTCAAATAATCATTGATTCCATGGGTAGTATTTTTACACTTGAAAACGTCATTTATATTACAACGTTTAAATATTCATCTTTCTGATAAGGTTTGCATTAATAAAAATGACTTACTGTGCATATAGCTAAAGGTGTTTTTGCTTATATACATATATGTAAATTATATCAATATGATATTTTTAGCGAATTACCGTCCTACTTGAGCCGTCGTTGGGAATGTAGAGATAGCTAATTTGTATTCAAAATGTATTACGATGTACTCTCAACAGCGCGACGGGCTGTTAAGTTTATATCCAACTATATGCCACTTATGATAAGAACGATTTCTTTCGCTAAAGCCCAAAGAGTGCAGAGTGTAATGCTTCACTAAGTGCTGACTATACTATAAGGAAAAATATTAGTAAAATTGTAATGTAAATCCTTCAGACCGTATTGTAATGTCACCAGAGTAAATATAATACAAAAAAGGTACTTTGATAAATAGTTATTATCTCGGGTTACATCCCTTACTTGGCGTACTCATATAACACGTACAAACCAACGCACACTTTGCAACAAATTGGGGACGAAGCGCCCGCTGGCGGTGGTGGTCCCGTCAAATTCAAGACGCGTTGATGCTTATTTTGTTAATACGATTGCAATACGATGTAATTAGAAAAGAATTGAGGTGCATATTTCTACAAGCTAATGATGTCCATCGAAAAAGCAAATCGTATAAACCCAAGACTTTGTCATATTAATAATGCGTTAGTAATATACGTTGAGTGGTATATCATTGTTTTCTTATTTTGTTTATATATAAGGTAACCGTTGGCTTTATAATCTTCCCAAAAAACATGAATGTATATGATGTTTTTCAAGTTACGGATTAAGTGGCAAATAAAAACCGATTTGTGACGTGAATCACTCTTATATTTGCTAATTTCATTGTTGTAGTCGCAAATAAACTAACAAAAAAAGAAATTGTTTATACCGAGTTAACTTTATGCTGGATTTTACACCTCAGGCCGTCTTATTGTAAGTGTCATAGAGTTGAATTTAAATCGTAATTGTAAAAGACTGCTGTTGTCCGTACTTTTTTGAAGTACAAGCTTAAAAAGAATAATTTTTATATGTTTGTGTGCAGGAGACCTTGTATTAAACAACGTTTATAAAGTATCTAAAGACCTGTTTATTTACTTGGACAGGTTTTGTGATCGATGCTTATTAGACCTTTTTTTAACACGCTACAGGATGTGTAAAAGATGTCTTTTTTCGTCACGTCTAGAATTTAAACTATATTAAGATAGTTTAGAATTTAAACTATCTTCATATAGTTTAAATTCTAGGTACATCATAGATATAACCTATGTAGATAAGACAACTCTCTCTGTCTACTTGCAGAGAGGCTTCTTGCGATGTATATTTTTAGAACATTGATTTCTACGAACTCTACTTCTATGATAGTATACGTATAGTATAATACGTACTGCGTTGCGATGACAACGTGATAATTTTACTGTAATTTATATTAGCATGTGTCAGTACATGATTCGTCCAAACGGATTATGTATCTCTTATTGTTTAGAATTCATAATATTTACAGGAATTCATGTTTCAAGGCAAGATTGGTCTATTAAAATTTCATATTAAGAGAATAAGTGTTTGCACTAGTAATGTTACATATCTTAGAACATATTTATGTTCACAGTTACTGTTTATAGACCCAGTCGATGATTGATTGAAATAAGTTAACATCTTGTTTCTAAATTAGTTTTTTCTCAACTAACTCAGTTTTTTTTAAATATTAGTAGAATAATAAATACCAGTCATACTTACAAGGAAAATAAAAACTGTAGCCGACATTTTAGGCGTAAGTTACAGTATAGTGGACAGTAAGTAGAATAAAACTTTAACGCTTTTCACAGTATAACAGATTCTCTCAGGACAACTTTTGCTTATAAGACCGGACGTGCAATCGGTCTAAACTCTGATCACAGACTACGTATATAACGAAACTGCTCAATGGTACGACAAGTTCATAGTAAACGTAGACATCCACTTGGCGACATCATACTCTTTATGTGGCCGTGAAATGAAGTTTGGTTCGTATAGAAGGTGCCTTTGAAATAGACTTAAAATTTGCTAAACGTTTAATTTTTAGAATTAAACTTCACATAACTGTAAAATTTTATTTTAATAATAATATTTCCTTTTTCGGAGATTTACTGGGTCCAGTTTTGCTTATTTCTACTAAGAAAATTTCTTGGCAAAATTCAATAAGTCTAATAAACTTAATAATACTAATAAACTCGCGCTGGCGAATCGGTTGGTTCCATTAATGGCGCTATGCCGCCGAATGTATTTAAACCTAAAAATTTATCATACGCTTAGATTGGTAACCGCTAGTTGTCCAGTTGTATAGATGAGCAAAAATAAGCATTAATCAATTCATTTAACTATATTAAGACATATTTGTCGCATAACAGTGATTTTGTATTAAAACGAGTCGTTGAGCGTTGTCGCAATTATATTGTACCTCTGCAGTGTAGTGTTCATTCGATACGTTGGTATCGCTTTATACATCTGCGGCTAAAAATAACTAAGTTTCTTAATAAAAGTCATGCGAAATATGAAAGAAAGAATTTTACACAACATTAAAAGATGAATAATTTTATGCATGGTATTCGATCGAACAATTTAATAAACTAGTGGAGTTATGAAATTCATAAAAATAATAGAATATCTTGGTGGTCAAACATCGTGACATTCAATAAACTAAAAAAATACAATCTTTTTTACTTCTGTTTTATGTAATTAAATAAACAACCAATACGATAAATTGTGAAACAATTAGGTCTATCAGATCATGATACTGGACAATTTATTAAGTTCCAAATAAAAACCATAAAAACAGTTGTTTGAAGAAAAAAACAGACTTTGGTTAATGTAATTTAAATAAATTCTTAAACTGTATTTCGGCCCTATCATTCTCAAATGTATTAAAACAAGAAAACTTTAATGATGCCTTTGTTGAATTACATGAATGCCTAGTATTATTTTATAAATTGGATTTCCCAAAAATCGTCGCTAATGTAACCAAAATATCGAATAAGAAAAGACGGATTACGAGAGCACTAAAGAAAGCGTGTGTTGTAAAAAGAACACTATATTTTCGGTACCATATATCATCCAGACATCGAAAACAATATAGAAACACGTGTAAACAATACAAAAAAAAAAAATGAAATGTTGCAACTGCTGATTATAGTAGGCATAGTAGTGCCTTTTTTCGTTACGAGGGCAGTACTTGAGTCACAGAGAATTGGTGTAATAAAAAACTTCTAAAAGAATCGTAGAACAATAAATGTAGATCGTCTTGGAATATTATACAAACCTAAACATCATGTGAAACGAGCTTGGCATTGATGAAATAGATCAAAATGGATAAACGTTCTCACATCTCAAAGATATAGCAGAATTAATATATATTAATAAATAAAGCTTTTAAAAGATAAAGCCTTTAATGATTTCTTTATAAATCGTACAAACGAGATACTTCAATTAATAAATGAAACTGTGACTGCTAACACTAGCTCTGCAAACATGTTTTTTTACCCTACAGATCCTCTAGAAGTATATAATGTCATTAAATTATTAAGAATACTTGTTCGGTGACTAATTACCAACAAACTTATTAAAGCAAATTGCTTAATATATCTCCATAGCACTGAGACATATAATTAACTTGTAATTTAGTCAAAGTACATTTCCAGCAAGATTAAGATATTCTATAGTAATAGTATCTTTATTTAAGAAAGGTAACAGAAGGAATATGACCAACTATAGACCTGTTACACTTGTCCCAATGCTATCCAAAGACATAAAAAAGGTTGTACTTGAAAGACTCAATAGTTTTCTAATTAAATATAATATAATAACAGAAACGCAAAATGGATTCTTAAAAAACAAATCTGCAACTCTAGCCAATTTCAAATTACAAAAAATCTGTAAAGGAAACTATCGACAAAAAATCCCTGTAGTGGCCCTGTTCTTTGATATGAGCAAGATTTTTGACTCTGTTCATCACAAACGACTACTCAACAAATTACGTAGCCAAGGCATAAGGGGAAAGGTCAATGACTGGTTTCGAAGTTTTTTAGTCAATGTACGGAAATTAAGTACTAAATTCATTACAAATAAATGGACGACGGGTCTAATACAAAAACCACGAAAAAATGTCCCAAGTCAACCTATTCGAAATTTAAATTGTAATGTCATCGCAGTATCGCGCTGTCAGTAGAACAAATGAAGACTAAAGCGGAGTTTGTAGCGCTCTGTATACGATTTTAGCGCCTTATAAGTGCGGACACTTTTTAGCGCGGACCCCACGTCCATATAATTGTAAGTCAATGACTAAACTCCATAATAATCGAAAAATTAAATGCCGGTCAGAGTTTAAGAGAATTAACTTGAAGCGGCCGTACCACGAAACTGAATGCATTATACGAAAGTATTACTCGTTCGATATTCATAACCTACTAATGAAGGGCCACTAGTGTATTGCATCAAGTAACAGCCGCAATGTATTTATTTACGAATCATGCGGCATATACTCGTTCGCATATTTGTTTTCTCGAAATCCATTCAAAATGATAATAATTGATTTCAAAATAAATTATGAATATTCTGATTACAAAATTACATAACTGTGGAAGGAAACTTCCCTGCTTATTTATTTTCTCACAGCTGTGGTGTTTCTAATGGCACAATTAGGCGTTGAATAATGATGAATTCGATATATTTCTATAAATTCCTCAAATATTTTCTTATTACTTATTACGCACTGCAGTACGATGCGAACGACGACTACCCTATACCGTAACTAGAAATGAAATGTCGCAACCTGCGCAGGCGACCGTAGTACACACACACATGCAGTTTCACAGCACGGTATCACTCAAAAGAATTGATGTTCCATCTTGCGTCTGTCCCCTGCGCAGGTACACAAAACTGGAGGTCAAACGCGTTATTTTCGAAAGATTTAACCATTCAACGGAACTGGACTGTTCCAACACAGTTCCCGTCTGCCTGCATGTGTACACCTGTACAGGTAGACCTCTCCGGTATACTGTAGCGGAATAAGCGTTTATAGCTTACATTGGGTAAGCAAAATAGGTATACTTGCGACGTCTATTTAGATTATGTCTGTGGTATTGCCTCTACATAGGAAAAGAGAAATAAAATAAATGACAAAACATTTCTTACAAAGAAATAATTTACTGAGTATTAATTGTAAAATCACAATATGTCCAAAATGTTTGTAATACAAAATGTGCATGGTGTTAAGTAAATTAATAAATGAAACTATTGTAATTTTTATATTTAGTTTCCAGTAACATACGCTGACAGCGACAATGCGCAGTTCCCTATATTAACTGCCTCTGTGGCCGAACGGTTACCATGCCGGACTGCCATGCAGAGGTCCCAGGTTCGATTCCCGGGCCGGGAGAAATATTTGTATGGCCTACATTTATTTCTCTTGTGAGTTTGGGTGGAATTTGTGGTTGTCTATGTGTGTGTCCATGGCACCCGCGACACAGGGTTTCCCTAGTGCGGGGCTATGTTGAGTGTGAGCGTTATTATTATTATTATGATTTCCATACTAATTCGCTTTAACGCGGTTAACATTGAGTTCGTTAAAAACCAACATTTAGATTTTCTTGAAATAAGCGGTCTTTCTTCGTCTACCTAACTTTGCTGTTGTCGTTGTAATTCCGTTCTAGTTACTCTGTAGAACTATTTCCTCGACTTTCTAATACGACCCCACATTTACTTTCCTTTTATCTGGACTATGTAATGAATTGTCAGTCTCGTCTGTTCCAGCCCTCGTCATCCTACCAATAGCAATTAGGAGAAGTAACTTGAGTCACTTATATAATACGAGGTATATAATTAAAACATCATAGAAGGGAGACCGCAATTGATGAAGTAAATAAATAATCTAATGTACTCAGTGCTTGCTTCTGTATCGACATGCGCATCCCACAGGTATTTCTTTAGACTTCACATTTTCCAATGAGTTTCCATCGTGACTTAGTACCAGGAACATAAATTCGGTTGTGATGTCTTCGCAATACAACGTGTATTCATTGGTATCGATCTCAGGTTTTGTGAGAAGTGGAACTGTCCTCATTATTTTGCCTGGATATCTAAAGAAAATAAATGTTAATGAAGAAATTAACAGAGTGAAATTATGTATAGATTAATGGGATACAATTCAACAAGATACGATGAGAACAAAACGCGTGTATTGATGAATAGCCATAATCGTAAAGGCAACGTCGTTAAGGCCTCTCCACACTCGCGCGCGATTCACGCTCGAAGCCGCAAACTACCCGCGAAGCATGAGTATATTCTCTGAGAGGCTTTTTAATTTCGGTAGCTGAGAAATGCACTCTCACTTGCACACATTGTGGAAAAAAGGATGGCTAGTGTTTGTGTTCACATTATGTATATCATGAAGTCGTAAGTGGTTACTATTTCTTCACTTTTTCCCCCTGAACTTCGAAAGTGACTAATTCCCGTATAAAAATACATGGCATAACTGTTTGAAATGCTGTTATCATATTGTACGCGAGAAACCTTTTATACCGATATATATCAAGTTTCGTCATTTACGAAGTATATGTTAACTTATTACAATATGTCACACACCGGTCACAACCCGGTCGACGCTACGTAATTTTTGGGAAAACTTTGCTCTCTATCCTTTCGCCAAGTTTGTCTTTCCGCATGTTCACGTGTCTGTATGGCATTACTGGCTCATTTGTATATCATGATATGTATCAGGCAAGGGTCGATAATGAGAAAAAGTGGTGTAAATGGAATTCTCGAAATCATGAACAGCGTAGAGAGCGTTAGCGCCTGCCAGAAATACATGATCAAAATAGTGCAATCGATACAAAGAAAGACGAATTATTACAGGGATTTTGTTATATCTAATTTCTTAATCTTTCCATTTCCTATGATTATTTTAATTACTTACAGGTAAGTTAAATTTCACTAGCGAAGTTTTAATTAACGTATTTCTTCATTTCTCGAACCTTTTGTTAAAAGCCAGTATTAGCTTTGCCATTTCAGGATTAGTAACAATGATTTGTCAACATTTTTTTGAATACTTACTGGCATCTGCCAATTAAATTTTCATTTTTAAATTTGTTATCATCTGTTTGTGCCACGAAACGCGTATTGTCGTGCTCGTCGATTATTTCGTAGATGGTCACGTACTGTAAAATAATTATCAGATTTGTTTTCAAATGTATTTGTAGAGAATAATCTTGACTTTTTTAAATGACAGAGTACTACTTAACTTACTTAAAACTGTAATTAAATTATACTAACTTCATCAATTTGTTTGCAGACTTCTTCGAATTCGGTATGCTCCCCTCTACGTTGTCCTGTGATTTGGTTAGTGGCAATATTCAAAGTCTGAAAAATAAAGAGATACATATACCTAAATTGTTCTTGTAACGTACAGTCTCCGTGAGGTAAAAATATTTTTATAGCATTTTAATGTACGTACGTCATTAAGTAGATTCTTAAATAATTTGCCTGGGTACTTTTCATGTTTGTATTCACAATAGTTTTGTTTTGCACACTCCGCAGGCATAGACAATCCTGAAATATAATTTTCTGTCTATATTAGTACAACAGCAGTAGAGCTCCTTGTGAATGAGTTCGTCCAGAATGTACCGCCACCTTACCTATTTCTGCGCCTAAGCAGTAATGTCATCATTACTGTGTTCCGGTTTTGAAGGGTAAGGGTGCTGGTGAAATTATAGGCACATGGGACTTGTCAACTTACGTCTCAGGGTGACGGGTGCAGTGGCATTGCCCCTCAGATCTTTGCGACTTAAAGCTCTGAGTGCCACTGTAATTGTTATGGACAGCTTACCAACAGGTGCACGACTTGTTCCTCCAGTCACTTGATATTATAAAAAAAAAATAAAAAATTATTACTTTAGTTGACTAGTAATTTTATACTCGCACGCTTGCACGAGAAATCCTTACTTTAATACTTGGAATAAGCGTGAATTTCAGGGAATAGGTAAGACGAACTCACATATTCTTTTGATTCTTTGTTTTGATGAAGAAAATAAAGAATTTAAACATTAATTTCTGACTGTTTTTGCAAAAATATATATTTATTATCTCAGACGTCACAAATAATATGCAACGAGAACAATTAAAGCCGGTCAGCGAAGAAAATTTTAAGGGATCTTTAGAGATCAAACTATAAAATTCCCAATGAGAACGTTGCTTGTACTTATTCGTAAAGCAATGTCAGATTCTCGGTTAATTATCGAACGTATAGGTAGGTACCTAAGTATCTATTATCATTACCTGAATATAGTTTCGGCATAGATTTCCCGCTCAAAAATAACAACATAACCATCTGTAAGTCAAATAAAGGTCAAAGTTATATATTTATATTAAAGTATTCTTTCTTTTGGTAGCAGTAGAGCTTCTTGTGGAAAAATTTGTCCAGAGAAGTACTGCCATCTTACCTATTTCTGCCGCCAAGCAGTAACGTCAACATTACTGTGTTCCGGATTTGAAGGGGAAGGGTGCTGGTGAAATTACAGGCACAAGAGACTTGTCAACTTATGTCTCAGGGTGATGGGCGCAATGGCAGTGCCCCTCAGATCTATGCGATTTAAAGCTCTGAGTGGCACTGCTGCTGTTGTGGACAGGCGTGTAACTTGCCATTAGGCGCACGACTTGTTCGTCCCGTCACTTGACATTATAAAAAAATCTGGACAGTGAACTACATTCGAAAAAACAGTATAGGCATTGGATTCCCAATATACACACGGAATATCGACGTATGTAGTTTATGCATAGATATTCTGTGGTATGAAGCCATAATTCATTAGGTGCGTTGATGTAAGCCAACAACTGTCCCAGTGGACCATTGCCCACAACAAATTTTGATATTTTTTTATATGTAATTTGTCACACAACCACACGAATTGCAGTGATATTAGCAAGAGCTTGGTATTTCACATTATGTAAGTAGTGCTGTGCCGTTCGCATAAAAACCACAATTTCAAAATCACATACCGTCGGTGTTTTGCAGTAAGCAAAATTTTGCGTAAGCGACATTTCGATAGATCAGGGAGCATGTTATAGGTTTTCACGACTGTTTTGTAATATTTACGTTCTGTTTTAAATTCAATTTTAACACTTAAACTTCATGAGTGTGTGCGTTATTATTATTATTATTATTTAAACCAAAAGTGAATTTGAAAACAGGACGCAAATATTTTAAAACAGTCGTCACAGCTAAAACATACTCCACAGATTTTTTTCCAAATGTCGCTTACGCTCTTTCTCAAAACACCGACAACTTTTGTACACACAAAAATACCACTGCATATGCAATTCCTAAGTAAGTAAAAAAATAAGAAATTTAATATTATGGCAAAACATCAAACATTTAACCTCATAAAAAGCGATAACCGAGTCTTTTTTCTAGGATATCCTAGGAAATGACAGGTCGTGCGCCTGGTGTTAAGCAAGATGCCTATCCATAGCAGTTGCAGTGCCACTCAGAGCTTTAATCGCAAAGATCTGAGGAACACCGCCACTGCGCCTGTCACCCTGAGACATAAGTTGACAAGTCACATGTGCCTGTAATTTGACCAGCACCCTTACCCTTCAAAACCGGAACGCAGGAGTGCTCACATTACTACTTGGTGGTAGAAATAGGTAAGACAGCAGCAGTTCCCTGGACGAAATCTTTCACAAGGAACTCTGCTGCTACTAAAAGTAGTAGAGTTCTCTAGACATTTGCGCTGCTAAGACTAATTAAATATCCGTAACATACTTACAAGAAAAGATGACTTTTCCAAAGCACTCATTTTCGTTTTTATACAATTATCACTTCAAATTGTAAGTAATATTTTAACAAATATATTATGATGTTGACTGTTGACGAGTATATGATTATGTTTCCTGAGTACCAGGACACTCATTATACTGCGTGCAAACAACGTTTCAATGGTTTTATATAGGGATTTTGAATTATTTTTCGAATTATTTTTCCTTGTTAACAACAAAATGTGTACTCATTTAGGCATATGTGTATAAAGGCTACATTAATTACCTATTTAATATACATATGTGAGTTTTTAGTTCATTATAATTAATTTACAATGTATGATTCACAATGACGTCTTAATTTTAGTAGTCATACTCCAGTGCCTATTATAGAAGTTTATCAAACTTAATTCAGGGACGGTACATGTTATCAGCTATATCCCAACAAGCACACAATCTGCTTATATTACCCCTGTACGACCTAAAAGTTGTATATTATCTTTTTTATTTGTCGTTATTATTATTATCTTTAAGGGATGTACTATAGTACTTAGTGTTTTGACAAAAGCTTTAAATTCTTATCGCCATTTTTATTTTTAAAGACTGACTATGAAGTAGCGGAGAAAATTTTCTTTTCTTTTTAAAAAGTAAATCTAAGTTGAAATTAGCTAGAAG